GAGAGGGAAGAGGGTCAGAGGGAGAAGCAGACCCCCCGCTGAGCAGGGAAGCCCGATGTGGGACTCGATCCTGGGACTCCAGGATCATGACCTGAGCCGAAGGCAGTCGCTTAACCAACTGAGCCACCCAGGCGCCCAGGTTAAGCTTATTTCAATGTTAGTGGTAAAAATCACTCATAATATAATGGCTTTTAAGTAGCTGCTAGTGTTTTATGGAGTATTGTTTATCCAACATCTAAAGGAACTCATAATATCCAAGTTTAAGTTACATAATTCACCATAAATACATTCCTGTTGAAACCTAATATAACTCAGAAGTGAAATACCTTTTCTATGAAATCAGTTCTAAGAATATGTAAACCTTTGTTTAGCCCTTATTTAGGGCTCTAATTGGACTTAATTCTTAGTGTTTAATTAGACTCTTTGATTATTTCAATGTTGCATTTTCAGTTGGCTAATAAAGGTATCATGTTTCCATAAAATGTACAGGGGTAGTTACTGTATGCCCAGAGTGTATATATGTAGATGACAATTTTGTAAATACAGGAAGTGAAAAGTGTAATAGAATTAGATAGCTATAGATTATATGTGTTACCTATCATGATTACTTAAGATAGTAACTACACTCAGAAAGGGGTACATTTGTACTAATTGAAAAAATATACAGGTTCAACCTGACTTTTACCTTCTCTTCTTATCCAGCACATGTTTGTTCTTCGTGAGCGCCCTGAAACAGTGTTAATAGATCTCATTCAAAGGACAAAGGATGCAGTAAGAGAGCTGGACAATCTACAGTATCGAAAGATGAAGAAACTCCTTTTCCAGGAGGCACATAATGGACCAGCAGTAGAAGCACAGGAAGAAGAAGAGGTAATAACTTAGAAATGACTCAGATATTGAGCTCTGTTTCTTTATTGGCTTCTTTCCTTATGCAGCTTGTCTTGCCATGAATGTTTTATATTAGTGCTTCCCAGACTGTGTTTTACTGGTCCTGTAAGATCCCAGGTGGGAAAAAGGGTTTTGCATTCTTTAAACCCAGCCCCTTTGTAGTGCTCATTGATAATAGTAAAGCTCTCCAAAGTCTTTTATTAAAGAAACCTGTTCAACTTTAATCCAGTCCCCATCAAATTTTTTGGGTACTGAACCCTCTTTTGCCTTATTGTCTGATTCCATGGGACATGCTTTTGGAAGAATGTGAAATTACAGACTATGGAAGTTGACAGTAGTCATTCAGAAGTTTTTAGAATTACCAAGCATTGTGCTCTGTCAGGGATCCTTGATTCTTTTCAGTTCTGTATAATTCATTCCATCTGCGTAGTTCTCAAATACATTTTACAGATGAGTAAAGTGAAGCTCAGAGTAGTTAACTCATCATAGGTTAAAATGGGTTTGGATTCATGTATCTCAGTCTCAAGGCCAGGTTCTTTCCATGTTGCCTTTTAGGGAGTATGGAAATATAAATTTGCAGTAGAAATGTTACAGAACTTCTCACAAGGAAATATACATATAGAACTTATTATTTGTGGAGCTATCTTTTTTACTCTATTTTCAGTTTTCTTTGCTCCTCTCAGAATTGTTTGACTTTTGGGGCGTCTGGGTGGCTCAGTCGGTTAAGCAGCTGCCTTCGGCTCAGGTCATGATCCCAGGGTCCTGGGATCGAGCCCCGTGTCCAGCTCCCTGCTTGGCGGAGAGCCTGCTTCTCCCTCTCCCTCTCCCTCTGCCTGCCCCTCTGCCTGCTTGTGCTGTCTCTCTCTCTGTCGAATAAATAAATGAAATCTTTAAAAAAAAAAAAAAAAAAAGAATTGTTTGACTTTTTTGTTTTTTTGATTGCTTTTCAGCAAGAGAGAGATCACTTTGCATTCTGAGACCAGGAGTAATAGTTACTTTTCCTTTTTAATAGTGCTACACAGTTAATGAACTATAAAATACAAGACTTTCTTAACTTATAGTTTTGGTTTTGTTTTTTAGTTTATAGAGTAATCATTAGAAAATTATTTTGAGGGGCACGTGGTGGTGCAGTCAGTTAAGCATCAACTCTTGGTTTTGGCTCAGGTCATGACCTCAGGGTCATGAGATCGAGCCCTGTGTAGGATTCCGCACTTAGTGCAGAGTCTGCTTGGAATTCTCTCTCCCTCTGCCTCCCCCCATCCCCGTATTCTCTCTCTCTTTAAAGTAAATAAACTTTTTTTTTTTTTTAAGATTTTATTTATTTATTTGACAGAGGGAGAGACAGCGAGAGAGGGAACACAGGCAGGGGGAGTGGGAGAGGGAGAAGCAGGCCTCCCGCCAAGCAGGGAGCCTGATGCAGGGCTTGATCCCAGGACCCTGGGATCACGACCTGAGCCGACGGCAGATGCTTAATGACTGAGCCCCCCAGGCGCCCCTAAAGTAAATAAATCTTATTTAAAAAAAAATTATTTTGAGTTTCTTAGATATATAAAATATTTCAGTAAAGTAAAATTAATAAAATTCTAATGTAGTTAAATGTGTAACAGCATCTCTTTTGGGCTGGGATGTAAGAAAAATTCATATATATATAAGTTCATATATATATGCCATATGTCTGTATGAAATTCTCCATATCTTACAGAATCTTGGTATGGTAAGAGTACTAAAATGTTGGTGCCAGATACCATGGCTTGCCTGGTTGCTTCATAAAAATATTTTTATGAATGTGATTAAATGCACAAGTAATAATGTAATTTTTAATTTACAAAAAAGATAGGAATTAATAAATTGATGAAAGAAGGATGAGCTAGAGAATATTTTCTGAGGAAGGAAAATATACTTAAAAGCCTTCCTTAAAAAATAACAACTAAGGGGCGCCTGGTAGCCCAGTTAAGCCTCAGACTCTTGATTTTGGCTCAAGTCATGATCGAGGTCGTAAGATTAAGACCCTGCCTTGAGCGCTCATGTGGAACCTGCTTGAGATTCTCTCTCTCCCTCTAGTTCTGCCTCTTCCATCCCGCTTGCATGAGCATGCCAGCCCTCTCTCTCTAAAAACAACAACTGAAAGTGGTTATTTATAGGATTAAAAAAAGGTTGGGGTTTGTTTTAGCCATGGGAATTATTGAGAAATGACCAGAATTTCTCCATATACCCTATGAGATGTGTGGTAGAAATGGATTTCAGCACTGGTACAGGCAAAAGAAAAAAAAGAAAAAAAGTGGATTTCAAAAAATTTCAAACAATTTAGAGAAAATGCTACACTTTGGAAATAACCATAACTGATGAACTGAATGTTTGACACAGTTGGGCTTTTTGTTATTTACTTGTTGATTATTTTTATTTGTTTGTTTTTCAGTTGGTAGGCTTCCTGGTCTTGGCAAGGAGAGGGAATTTCTCATGATAGACCTCTTAGTTTCTTTCTAAAGACTCTGCTAAGCAGTGTGATAGGTGATTATAATTAGCAATTTCAAAAGAGATACAGATATTTGAACCTAATGCTCTTTTCCCTTAGGAACAAGATCATGGTGTTGGCCGGACAGGAACAGTGAATAGTGTTGGAAGTAATCAGTCTATTCCCAGCATGTCCATCAGTGCCAGTAGCCAAAGTAGTAGTGTTAACAGTCTTCCAGATGCCTCAGATGACAAGAGTGAGCTGGATATGATGGAGGGAGACCACACAGTGATGTCTAATAGTTCTGTCATCCATTTAAAACCTGTGAGTATTTGGATTCCAGTGAAAAAAATTTCAACTTTGGTAAATAATTTCTTCCACTGATTAGTTTAATTAGGAGATTGTCTTGGATGTTTCAGAAGTTTGGAACATATTTAGGTAACTTTTTTTAAAGTGGCAGTAGGCTTGTTTTCCCAGTGTAATGTCAGCATTTGGGAAACTAATGTTTTAGGAATACAAAAAGGATATTTTAACGATCTTAGAAGAAAGAAATACAGAAACACTGTGTAATATATAATTTCAAGTTAATTTCATGAAAAATAAAGTATTTAAAAATAATTAAGTATACACATGAAAGTCATGATAATGGTTGTCTTTTAAGAGAAAGAGTTAGGATGGGTAATGATCAAAAGTGACTTGCAGGGCGCCTGGGTGGCCCAGTCATTAAGCATCTGCCTTCGGCTCAGGTCATGATCCCAAGAGTCCTGGGATCGAGTCCCACATTGGGCTCCCTCCTTGGCGGGAGACATGCTCTCTCTCTCCCACTCCCGCTGCTTGTGTTCCTGCTCTTGCTGTCTCTGTCTCTGTCAAATAAATAAATAAAATCTTTAAAAAAAAAAAAGTGACTTGCACTGTCCATAATGTTTATATCTTTAAAATAAAACTGAGTGTAATTGCCAGTAATTGTAAATTCTGGGTTTAGGAAATAAGGGTTTTGCTACATTATTCTTCACACTTCTGAGTGCAGAATTTTTAATTTTCTTGAAAACATTTTGAAAGGTAACTTGTTTTTAGCAACCAGTAGGAATACTTCCTTTTTAACTTCACAGCTTGCAGTGTTACCTAAAAACTTACTAGGCACAAGAGCTAAAAGGTAGAACTAACCCAAGTGTTCATCAACAGATGAATAGATAAATAAACTATGGTATATACATACAAGGGAATATTATTCAGCTATGAAAAAAATGAAATTCTGATACATGCTATAACATGAGTGAACCTTGAAATGTTATGCTAAAAAAGAAATGTTATGCTAAGTGATACTAAGCCAGATGCAAAAGGACAAATACTGCATAATTCCCCTTATATGAAATATCTAGAATAGGCACTTCATAGAGACACAAAATAGATTAGTGGTTACCAGGGACTGAGTAGAGGATAAAATGGAGAATTTTTGTTAGCAGATACAATTTCCATTCAGGTGATGGAAAAAGTTTTGGAAATGGTGGTGGTTGTACAACATTGGGAATATAATTAATGCCACTGAATTGTACATTTAAAAATGGTTGAAATGGAAAATTTCATATATGTTCTGCTACACTCACACACACAAAAAGTGATTAAGAATGATTTAGTTATGTAATAAGTGTTCTTCAGGGCAAAATTGTGTTTAATTTTTATATACTTAGGCAATAGAAGCAGCAGTAAAAAAAATTATTCTTATAATTAGTTGGTTGCTACTTAATTGATTTCGTCTTCAGTTAATGAACTAAGGCATATATAAGGAAATACATCAATTCTTAAAATTTTTACAGTTATTTTTTGATTACTTACGTGGACAAATGGCAAAAGTATTATAAAGGTATTTTTAAGATATATTATTGATTTGAAAACCCAAGAGCCTTAGAGTAATTAGTTTTTTTACTGCTGTTTAAAATTATTAAAGCTTGGGAGTGGCGCGCCGAACGGGACCCGGAGGCCTGGGGAGGGGGATGGGCAGCGCCGAACGGCAGGCCCTCACCAGCGCGCATGCGTGGCTCTCAGGAACCGGGCCATGGCGGACTCGAAGCTGCTGGTGCCGGAGTTAAGCGAGGCAGAGAAGATGGGCGCTGAGACCGAGCGTTTTGAGGAGCTGCTGCTGCAGGCCTCCAAGGAGCTCCAGCAAGCCCAGACAAGCAGACCAGAATCTACACAGATCCAACCGCAACCTGGTTTCTGCATAAAGACCAACTCATCTGAAGGGAAGGTGTTCATCAACATCTGTCACTCTCCTTCCATCCCTCCTCCGGCTGACGTGACTGAGGACGAGCTGCTTCAAATGCTGGAGGAAGACCAAGCCGGGTTTCGCATCCCCATGAGTCTGGGAGAACATGCCGAACTGGATGCAAAAGGCCAGGGTTGTACCGCCTAGGACGTAGCGGTCAACAGCGACTTCTACCGGAGGATGCAGAACAGCGATTTCTTGCGAGAGCTCGTGGTCACCATCGCCAGGGAGGGCCTTGAGGACAAATACAGTCTGCAGCTGAATCCAGAGTGGCGCATGTTGAAGAACCGGCCTTTCCTGGGCTCCATCTCCCAGCAAAATATCCGCTCCCAGCAGCGTCCTCGGATCCAGGAGCTGGGAAACCTGTATACTCCTGACTCCCTCAGACCTGAGGAACGCCGCGAGAAGCCTCACCTGAACCTTTGGCTGGAAGCCCCTGACCTCCTCCTGGCTGAAATTGACCTCCCTAAACTGGATGGAGCTCTGGGGCTGTCGCTGGAGATCGGGGAGAACCGCCTGGTGATGGGGGGCCCCCAGCAGCTGTACCATCTGGATGCCTATATCCCCCTGCGGATCAATTCCAAGGAGAGCAAGGCAGCCTTCCATCGGAAGAGAAAGCAACTGATGGTGGCCATGCCCCTTCTGTCGGTGGCTTCTTGACTGGGTTTCTTTCTCTGTTTCCAGGTGGAGAGAAGAGGCTGGTGGGGGCTTCTCTGAAATTGAAATAAAAGATTTTTGCCTTTAAAAAAAAAATTATTAAAGCTTTTCCATTTTCTATATAATAAGTAGGATATAAATCTAATCTGATACATTTCCTCATCCTAAATCTGTGTGCTGTTTCATACACTGAGGTAATAATGTTTCCTGATTCTAATTATGTTGAAAATAAAATGTTAGCATTCACAATTTTTGTTTTTGCTTTTTAAAATTATGTCTTTAAGATAAATTGATCAAGTTATCTTTAAATTTTCTTGAAAGTTCAAGTGAACTCTGTTTGTTCACCTGAAATCGTATTGTTTCTTTCTTTGCCTAGGAGGAAGAAAATTACAGAGAAGAGGGAGATCCTAGAACAAGAGCATCAGATCCACAATCTCCGCCACAAGTGTCTCGTCATAAATCACACTATCGTAACCGAGAACACTTTGCTACTATACGGACGGCATCACTGGTACGTTCTTCCCCTGAATTAGAAATCCATTTTTCATACTGGACTGTGGCATCTGTACTAAAGTATAACTATATCTTATTTTTTTGATTTGGGGTTTATTTTGCAAAACACTCATTGAGCATTTAAGCGCCTTTTATGAGAAAGATATACAGAATACTTTGAGAGATGTTAAACTAGTAACATCTTCAAGACATACACAGATAACTAATATGTTAGAATATATTAAATGCTTAAGAGAGCTAGAAGGTACTAAATAGGAATTCAGATTACTTTTGATTTGGGGCATAAAAGAAATATTTATAAAACAAATTGTTTAGGGATGCCTGGATGGCTCAGTCAGTTAAGCATTCCACTCTTGGTTTCGGCTTAGGTCATGATCTCAAGTGGGACTCTGCACTCAGCACTCAGCATGGGGTCTGCCTGAGATTCTCTCCCTCCCTCTCTCTCAAATAAATAAATAAAAATCTTTTAAAAAACAAAAAATAAATTGTTTGAGCTTTTAATAGTTTGTTGCTTTTAGGCACAGAGAGGAAGAAAAATGTTATTTCTACATAAGAATTAACAGTGAAGAGGGGCACCTGGGTGGCTCAGTCAATTAAGCATCTGCCTTAGCCTCAGGTCATGATCCCTGGGTCCCGGGAATGAGCCCCAAGTCGGGCTCTCTGCTCAGTGGGGAGTCTGCTTCTCCCTCTACCCTTCCCCCCTACTTGTGATCTCTCTTTCACACTCTCTCTCTCTCAAATAAATAAATAAAATCTTAAAAAAAAAAAAAAAAAGAATTAACAGTAAGGAAATACCAAAGCTAAATGACAGGAAATGTTTGGGAAATATCAAGTAATTCAATTTAATGTATCCAAAATGTAGTTCTTCTAATTTCCCAAAAAACAATAAAAATGGATTATGGGGGATTCCTGACTTGCTCAGTTGGTAAAACATGTGACCCTTGATCTTAAGGTTGTGAATTTGAGCCCCACATTGCATGTAGAGATTACTTTTAAAAAAAATGGTGGGATGCCTGGGTGGCTCAGTTGGTTAAGAGTCTGCCTTCAGCTCAGGTCATGATCCCAGGGTCCTGGGATTGAGCCCCGCATGGGGCTCCCTGCTCAGCGGGGAGTCTGTTTCTCCATCCCCCTGCTCATGTGTGCTCTCTCTCTCTCTCTCTCTCTCCGCCCCCAAATAAATAAATAAAATCTTTACATAAATAAATGGATTATGTGTCCATTATAAGGATGTTATTTTAGCAGGCTACATATTACCCTGATCAGTCAAAAAAGTAGGACAAACACAGGATGAAGGATACTAGGAATAAAAAGAAATTAAGATATCATAGGAAAAGTAGGCTGTTAGAAAATGTAACAGGAAGTATAAAAGATATATCAGAAAAACTTTTATCACCTGCATAAGCAGATTTTATAAATCCCATGCAATGGCCCATGACTCTGTATGACTTGGGGTCAAGAATGCCATCCCCCATCCTGAGGATTCAGGTCATTCCTGCTATTCTGCAACATGTAAATAACTTTTTGAACACAGCAAGTGGCAAAGATAGCTTGATCTTTTTTTTTTAAATGACTATTTTAATAAATACCTAGAGAGGTATTAGTGGAGAGAGGCCAATTCAAGTGACTTTGTGACTTGGCATATATTAAATGTTTCCCAAACAAATTCCCAGTTTCTGCCTCCCTCAAATTAATTAAGGACACACTTTTTTTTTTTTATTGAAGTATAATTGACATACAGTGTTATATTAGTTTCAGGTATACAACGTAGTGATTTGACAATTCTATGCATTATCAGTACTCACCACAATAAGGGTAGTCATCATCTGTCACCATACAACGTTATTAGTATTATTGACTATATTCCCTGTGCTGTACTTTACATCTCCATAACTTACTTATTTCATAACTGGAAGTTTGTACCTCTTAATCCCCATCACCTGTTTCATCCATCCCACCATCCACCAGTTTGTTTTGTGTATTTTAAGTGTCTGTTGATTTTTGTTTGTTTGTTCATTTGTTTTCTGGATTCCACATGTACGTGAAATCATGGTATTTGTCTTTCTCTGTCTGACTTAATTTCACTTAGCATAATATCCTCTAAGTTTATTCATGTTGTTGCAAATGCCAAGATCTCCTTTTTTATGGCTAATATTCCATTATGTCTGTGTGTGTGTGTGTGTGTATATATTTTATGTGCTTTATTCATTTATTGATGGACCCTTGGGTTGTTTCCATACCTTGACTATTTTAAATAATACTTCAGTGAACATATGGGTGCATATATCTTTTCAGAGTAGTGTTTTCTAGGGGTGCCTGGGTGGCTCAGTCAGTTAAGTGTCTGCCTTTGGCTTGGGTCATGATCCCAGGGTCCTGGGATCGAGCCCTACGTCAGGCTTCCTGCTCTGGGGGGGCCTGCTTCTCTCTCTCCCACTCCCCCTGCTTGTGTTCCCTCTCTCGCTGTGTCTCTCTCTGTCAAATAAATAAAATCTTTTTTTTTTAAGATTTTTTTATTTAAAAAAAAAGAGGTAGTGTTTTCTAATTCTTTTTTCCCTCCCTCCCTCCTTTCCTTCCTTCCTTCCTTCCTGTCTTTTTTTGTTTTGTTTTTGTTTTTGAGATGGAGTGAGGGGAGGGGCAGAGGGAGAGGGAGAGAGAAAATCTTAAGCAGGCTCCTCTGCCCAGTGCAGAGCCTGACTGAGATCATGACCTCAGCCGAAATCAAGAGTTGGACACTTTCCAGCGCAGCCACCCAGTCCCCCAGTGTTTTCTGTTTCTTTGGGTAAATACCCAGTAGTGGAATTAATAGATCATATGGTGTTTGTATTTTTAATTTTTTGAAGAACCTCTGTAGTATTTCCCAGAGTGGTTGTACCAGTTTGCATTCTTACCAACAGTACACAGAGTTTCCCTTTTCTTAAGGACACTTACTAAATTATGGATTTAGAAAGCTTAAGATCCATATTCTTTTTTTTAATAATTTTTTATTGTTATGTTAATCACCATACATTACATCATTAGTTTTTGATGTAAGATCCATATACTTAAACCTAGTAATTCCATTTATTTCAAATAAAACATTCAGAGTGTATGTAGATTTATGTACAAGATAACCAAAGCTGTATTCTTCAGTATAACTACCATGTACCATAACTCATTCTTTCTTCTGCCTTGGGTTGTTTTCATACAATAAATGGATATTAGGTATTCAATTTGAAGAGTTTTTACAATGGTTCCTGCCTAAGTTAGCCATCACTTAAAAAAAAACAAGATATGTAAAATTTCTAGTCATCACAATAATTTCCCTTCATACCCCCCCTTTGTCAGTTTTTCACTCCCATGAACAACATTTTCTGTCTCTTCACTATTATTAGTTTTAACTGTTTGGGTTTCATATAAAGGGAATCACAAAATATATTCTTGTATCAGGCTTATTTTGCTCAATTTAATGTTTTTGAGATTTATCAGTCTTGTGTTCATTAAAATTCATTCTTTTTTTAAAGATTTTATTTATTTATTAGAGAGAGACTGAGAGAGAGAGAGCATGGACTGGGGGAGGAGCAGAGGGAGAGGGAGAAGCAGAGTCCCCACTGAGCAGGGAGCCCGATGTGGGCCTTGATCCCAGCCTGAACCGAAGGCAGACACTGAACCAACTAAGTCACCCAGGCATCCCAAAAGTTCATTCTTTTTTATCACTATAAGTAGTTTTCCATTGTGTGAATATGTAATTTTTTTACTCATTCTTTATTGATGAACATTTGGTTTGATTACCTTTTGGGCATGTAAGATTGCTATAAACATTCTTGTACAAATCTTAATGTGAACATGATAGTTTAATTTCTTTTTGGTAAATACTTAAGGTAACATAACTGAGTTGTAAGGTATGTGTATGTTTAACTTCATAAGACTCTATCAGTTTTCCAAAATGGGTGTACCATTTCACATGCCCATTAGCAGTGTATAAGTTCTAATTGGTTCACATTCTCTCCAACATTTGAGGTTGTCAGTCTTTTTTATTTTAGCCACTCTAGTGGTATGAAATGGAATCTTGTAGTAGTATTTTTGCATTTCCCTGTGACTAAAGAGGTAATCATTATAAGCCCCTTTTCATGTGCTTATTGTCTATTCTTGTGTCTTCTTTTGTGAAGTGTTTCTTCAAGTCTTTTGCCTTGTTTCCTTTTTTTTAAGATTTTATTTATTTGAGAGAGAGAGAGCAGAGTGAGAGACAGCACGAGCTAGGGGGAGAAACAGAAGGGAGGTAGAGAAGCAGAGAGCCCGCTGAGCAGGGAGCCTGATGTGGGGCTCCATCCCAGGACCCCGAGATCATGACCTGAGCTGAAGACAGACGCTCAACTGACTGAGCCACCCAGGCACCCCATCTTTTGCTTCATTTCTTTTTTTTTTTTAAGATTTATTTATTTGAGAGAGAGAGAATGAGAGATAGAGAGCACGAGAGGGAAGAGGGTCAGAGGGAGAAGCAGACTCCCTGCTGAGCAGGGAGCCCGATGTGGGACTCGATCCCGGGACTCCAGGATCATGACCTGAGCTGAAGTTAGTCGCTTAACCAACTGAGCCACCCAGGCGCCCTTTTGCTTCATTTCTTACTCAGATATTCATCTTTTTAATATTGATTTGTAGGTGTTCTTTATAAAGGTTGCTTATAGTATTTTATCTCATATATGTCTTGCAAATATTTTTTCTTCATCTGTAATTTACCTATTCTTTTTCCTACTTGATGAAAAATTAAGATTTTTAGTTTTAAAATCCAATTTAAAAAATGGATAAAGTGGGGGGCGCCTGGGTCTTGCAGTTGGTTAAGTGACCAACTCTTTGATTTCAGCTCAAGTCATGATCTCAGGGTGGTGAGATTGAGCCCTGCCTAGTGCTCCCCACTCAGTGCTGAGTCTGCTTGGGATTCTTCCTCTTCCTCTGCCCCTTACCCCTGCATGCTCTCTCTCTGTCTCTTCCTCTCTCTCTCTCTCTAAAATAAATAAAGCTTTTTAGGGGTGCCTGGGTGGCTCAGTCAGTTAAGTGTCTGCCTTCGGCTCAGGTCATGATCCCAGGGTCCTGGGATTGAGCCCCATGTCAGGCTCCCTGCTTAGCTGAGAGCCTGCTTCTCCCTCTCCCTCCACCTGCCACTCTCCCTACTTGTGCTCTCTATCACTCTGTCAAATAAATAAAATCTTTTAAAAATAAATAAAATAAATAAAGCTTTTAAAAATTCATAAAGTGGGGGGGTTTTGGGTGGCTCAGTCAGTTAAGCATCAACTCGATTTCAGCTCAGGTCATGATCTCAGGCTTGTGATGTGAGATCAAGCCCTGTGTCAGGCTCACTCTGGGTGTGGGGCCAGCTTAAGATTCTCTCTCTGCCCCTCCCTCGCTTAAAAAAATGGATAAAGGTCTTGAATAGACATTTTTCCAGAAAAGATATACAAATGACCAACAAGCACATGAAAAGATGCTCAATATCATAAGTTATTAGGGAAATGCAAATCAAAATCACAAGGAGGGACCACCTCATACCCACTAGGATGGCTTTTAAAAAAAAAGAAAAATAATAATTGTTGGAGAGGGGCACCTGGGTGGCTCAGTCAGTTAAGCATCTGCCTTCAGTTCTGGGATCAAGTCCTGCATCGGGCTCCCTGCTAAGTGGGGAGCCTGCTTCTCCCTCTGCCTGCTGCTTCCCCTGCTTGGGCTCTGTCTCTCTCTGTCAAATAAATAAATAAAATCTTAAAAAATAATAATAATAATTGTTGGAGAGCATGCAGAGAAATGAGAACTCCTGTACGTTTCTGGTAATACGTATGTAATAATATTGTAATTGTGTATATGTAATATGATTCAGCTTCTGTGGGAAACAGTTGACAGTTCCTCAGAATGTTAAACTTGGAATTATCATATGACTCAACAGTTCTGTTCACCCAAAGAATCAAAAACTAATACTCAAATACATGTACACACATGTTCATAACAGTACTATTCATAATAGCCATATCCATCAGCAGATGAATAAATTATGGTATATGCATAGAATGGAATATTATTCGGCTGTAAAAAGGAATGAAATACTGATGCATGCTACAACATGGATGAACCTTGAAAACACGCTAAATGAAGGAAGCCAGGCATAAAAGATCACATATTATATGACTGTATGAAATATCCAAAATAAATGTGAATCCATAGAAATGGAAAATAAATTGGTGGTTACGAGGAGAGAATGGGGAACAGGATTTTCTTCTGAGATGATAAAAATGTTTTGTAATTAGATAAAGGTGGTAGTTGTATAACATTGTGAATATTCTAAATGCTATTGAGTTGTTCACTTTGAAATGATTAATTTGGGCTGCCTGGGTGGCTTAGTTGGTTAAGCATCTGGCTCTTCGTTTCAGCTAAGGTCATGATCCCAGGGTCCTGGGATCCAGCCCCACGTTGGGCTCTGCACTTAGCAGGGAGTCTGCTTGAGCATTCTCTCCGTCTCCCTTTGCCCCTCCCCACACTCGCTCACACACTCGTTTGCTCTCTCTCTAAAATAAATAAATATTTTTAAAAATGATTAATTTTAGGGGTGCCTTGCTGGCTCAGTTGGAAGAGCACGCGACTTAGTCTTGGAGTTGTGAGTGAATTTCACCTCACTTTAAAAATCCAATTTATACATTTGTGTCTTCCAAATTTTTATTTAAAATCTAGTAAGTTAACATATAGTGTAATATTGATTTCAGGAGTAGAATTTAGTGATTCAGCACTTACATATAACTCCCAGTGCTAATCATAACAAGGGACCTCCTTAATCCCCATCATCCACTTAGCCCACCCGCCCCATGTCCCTCCATCAACCCTCTGTTCTTTGTTGTTAAGAGTCTCTTTTGGGGGTGCCTGGGTGGCTTAGTCGTTAAGCGTCTGCCTTCAGCTTAGGTCATGATCCCAGGTCCTGGGATCGAGCCCCGCATCGGGCTCCCTGCTCCGCGGGAAGCCTGCTTCTCCTGCTCCCACTTCCCCTGCTTGTGTTCCCTCTCTCGCTATGTCTCTGTCAGATAAATAAATAAAATATTTAAAAAAAAAAATAAGATCAGTCTCTTATGGTTTGCCTCCCTCTCTGTCTCCTTTTTTCCCTTTCCCATATGTTCATCTGTTTTGTTTCCTAAATTCCACTTACGAGTGAAATCATGTGGTATTTATCTTTCTCTTATTTTGCCTATCATAATATACTCTAGCTCCATCCACATCCTTACAAATGGCAAGATTTCATTCTTTTTGATGGCTGAATAATATGTGTGTGTGTGTGATCTTCTTTACCCATTCATCAGTTGATGGACATTTGGACTCTTTTCATAGTTTGACTATTACATTTTTTTCTTTATAGCCAGTGCCTTTTGTGTCCTGTCCAGGAAATATTTGCTTACACAGTAGTCCATGTCTTCTTTTGCTTTATGATTCTAAGTTTTATGTTTAGGTCAAATGATTCTTTTCAAATTAATTTTTGAATATAGAGTGATAATAGGAGTCAGGTCTATTTATTTTTACAGGGAACCAATTGTTTCAGCAGGATTTATTAAAAAACGCTTTCAATTTGAATTAACTGGAATTTTTGGTAGGAAATCCAGTTGACTGAGTATGTGTGGGTCTATTTCTAGATTTTATTTTATTTTTTTAAAAATTTTATTTATTTATTTAACAGGGAGAGACACAGCAAGAGAGGGAACACAAGCAGGGGGAGTGGGAGAGGGAGAAGCAGGCTTCCTGCCAAGCAGGGAGCCCGATGCAGGACTCGATCCCAGGACCCTGGGATCATGGCCTGAGCTGAAGGCAGACGCTTAATGACTGAGCCACCCAGGTGCCCCTTATTTCTAGATTTTATTGTGTTCCTTTGATCAGTTCAGTCTGTCCTTATCCCAATACCACATTGTTTTGATTGCTGAAGTATATGTCTTCCAACTTTTTCTTCCCCCTCAAGATTGTTTTGGATATTCTTGGCCTTTTATATTCCCATAAATTTTAGAATCAACTTGTTTATTTCTTTTAAAGACCTGCTGGAAATTTAGTTGAAAACTGCTAACTGGGATCTCTTAAATTAATTGCCTACTTAGTTAATAGAGTGGTCTAAAATGCTTTTGAAAGAAATGTTTTGCTTTATTTTGTTCTTTTCTGTCCATTGTTTGTATGTCTAGGTTACAAGGCAAATGCAAGAACATGAGCAGGACTCTGAGCTTAGAGAACAGATGTCTGGCTATAAGAGAATGAGGCGGCAACATCAAAAGCAGTTGATGACTCTGGAAAATAAGCTAAAGGCTGAGATGGATGAACATCGCCTCAGATTAGACAAAGATCTGGAAACTCAGCGTAACAATTTTGCTGCAGAAATGGAGAAACTTATCAAGAAACATCAGGCTGCTATGGAAAAAGAGGTGGCTGATTCAGTATTATTAATTTGTTCTAGCTTGTAACCGTCCCAGAATTAACCAAGATAATATTTTGATGTTAGAGTATCTTTTCCCCAGAACCAAGCAAATCAGTTGGAGAGAGAGACATTTACATAACATGTATAATATCAGGTACCGAGTCTGGGAACCAATAGACACGGGATTATTTCCTGATACTTGATAGATTTAGTGTCACAGTGGGTAAGTCATTGATTCATCTGTTCTGGGCCTCAGGTACTCTGGTTATCTGAAGAGTTTGATAAATCACCTATTAGTAACATGGTTCAGGTCTCAAAAAAATCATTTGTGATTCCCTTTTCTGTGTATTTTTTGGAAACTGTCCTTAAATTTATAGCAGCATTTTTATATCAGAGAATAATTGAAGATTAATATATAAAGAAAATGTTAAAGATTATAAATTAGAGTCAGATTAAGGTTTAGCCCATTTGTTTATTTACAAATAAGTGTCATTTTACTATATGATAAAAGCACATTTTTTAAGATTCTTGTTATGTGAAACCTTTTCTTGTAAAGGTTTTTGAGTCCCGTTAGTTTCATTTTATTTTCATAGTCACATTTGTCAAGTAAAATGTAAGCGTCTCAGTAAATTCACAGAATATCTTCAGATATGTCTGGTGGTAGTCCACATTAAGGCATTATTTATCATAGCTACCCTGTTCAACCTTCCTCCCCCACCCCAAAATAAAGAACCACTCTCTTACAATAGTAGAGGATTTAGCAAAATAATTTATGATGTAAATAAACTTTTGATTTTGAAATAATTTGGTGAAAGAATTATCCTGTTGGTCATTGGGTAGTATTTTTAATAACTTAGGAAGAGGTAGATACTAACATATTTAGGAAAGCAATTCATGAAATGGGATATAGAATATGATTACAAATTTGTTTAAGAAATAGATATGCATAGAAAATATTAGGAAGGGTATACACCAAAATGTTTATATTGGTTATCTCTGGGTGCTAAACTCATGTAATATTTTCCTTCTTTGTGTTTTTCTATACTTCCTAAATGTTCTACAATGATTATGCATTGCATATATCATCAGAAATAAGGGGTGCCTGGCTAGCAAAAGTCCGTGGAATATGCAACTCTTGATCTCGGGGTTGTAAGTTTGACCCCCGTGTTGGGTTTAGAGATTACTGAAAAATAAAAACTTTTAAAGTAAGGGGAAAACAGGGGTGCCGGGGTAGCTCAGATGGTTAAGCGTCTGCCTTCGGCTCGGGTCATGATCCTGGGGTCGTGGGATCGAGCCCCACTTCGAGCTCCTGGCTTGGCGAGGAGCCTGCTTCTCTCTCTGTCTCTCTCCCTGCTCATGCTTTCTCTCTCTGTATCTCTGTGTCTCAAATGAATAAATAAAATCTTTTAAAAAAATAAATAAATAAAAATAAAAAAATAAGGGGAAAACAGTATGATACATATGTCCAATAATTAATATTTTCATATTCAATATAAATAAAAGGTCAAGTTTTAAATTTAAAGATAAACATTACATTATTTCATATACTAGTCAACCAGGATAAGAAGTCATGATTGAATTATTTTTGTAGATAAATGTGTATTTGTTTGTTTTTTTATTGGGAGGAGAACATACTCCTCCTATTAAATGGGGAAAAAAAAAGGGTGAAAACATTCTGACCCTGTACAAGATCAACATTTTAAAGATGCGTTCCATTTTATTGGTTCTCTGAAATTCAAATGAAGATGCTGAGTACTCCAGAAACCAATATTGTTATATGTTAACTGCCGAAAATTTAAATAAAAATAAAGGATACTGAGTAACAAGTATTAATAATTTGTTGGGTATTCTCATTTTGGTAATACACTGATTTTTTTGATCATGGGAAAAAATGGTATCCTTGGTAATGTGTATTCAAATGCTGCTTTGAACCTATCAACTTAACTAATTTGATTCATTTTTAAAATTTTCTATAGGCTAAAGTGATGGCCAATGAGGAGAAAAAATTTCAGCAACATATTCAGGCCCAACAGAAGAAAGAACTGAATAGTTTTTTGGAGTCCCAGAAAAGAGAATATAAACTTCGAAAAGAACAGCTTAAGGAGGTACTTATTTTATAAACATTTTCAAGGCAGTTATCTGCTTATTGATTATACGTAATATTGATCAACTCATAGAACCATGAAGATAAATTTTTCTTTTGTTGTTTGTCACCATGAAATGTGTATCAGTTTGAATGAAGACTGATGACTGAGATCCTCAGTTGAGGTGTAAAAAGAATCATCTCCTGAAAACATAAGTTATTTTATTTATAATAGCTTTCCTAAGCACTTGTTAAGTAACTGACTGATTAGAAATAAAAATATGTGAGCTGTGGAAAAAAAAAAGCCACACATTTCTTTCTTTATAAATAAACCATTCCTGGGTGCCTAGGTGGCTCAGTCTGTTGGGTGTCTTGACTCTTGCTCTCAGCTGGGGTTGTGATCTGCAGTCTTGACATGGAGCCTCCCGCCTCAGGCTCCACACACAGCAGGGAGTCTGCTTGAGATTTTCTCCGCTCATGTGCACGTTCTCTCTCTCTATAATAAATCTTTAAATAATCCTTTAGGTGTATAATAGGTGCGTGTGTGCATGCGTGTGTTCATTTCGAATGATTCTCAGTATAGAGGAAGGGACGTACTAGACTTTTGGTGGGGAAATTTCCTGGCAGAAGATTTTGAGAAAGATACCAGGTGATTCTCAGGAAACAAAACAGAGGATCATAGGGGAAAGGAGGGAAAGATAAAATAAGACAAACAAAATCAGAGAGGGAGACAAACCATAAGAGGCTTTTAATCATAGGAAACAAACAGGGTTGCTGGAGGGGAGATGGGTGGGGGGATAGGGTAACTGGGTGATGGGCATTAAGGAGGGCATGTGATGAGCCCTGGGTGTTATATGCAACTGATGAATTACTGAACTCTATATCTGAAACTAATGATACACTATATGTTAACTAATTGAATTTAAATAAAATAAGTAAAAAAAAAGATACCAGGTGATTCTCTGTGTATGTGCCTATGTTATCCTTGTCTCTTCCTGTAGTGTGTGTGCATATACACCCTCATTTGAGAACTACTAATTTATGTGCTTTTTATTTTTACATGTTTGAATATCTTATGAACTTAAGTTATAAAGAATTTGTCTTTTTCTTGAATAACAGGGAAAGGACCATGAGGTTAGTAGTCTCTGAAAAATCAACTTAGACTTAGGAAAGATGGCTGATTTATATTCTTTACAATATTGATGGCTTTTTAGGTTGAAAATATACTAGTATTAATTGACGTCCTAGGGTTCACCTCATTGAGTATATGATGAATGTTCTCATCTTGCCCAATATAAATGTATTTTCATGTAGGTAGTTTTTGAGATGATACTTAAAATGCTACAGAAAAGCATTGGTTTTGATTCGTTCAGTGGTCATTAATGCTAAATATTAAATACCATTCATAAAAGTTTCTGTTCTCCCATGGTTTTAATTTAATTAATTTAATTTCCATGTTTTTTATATTGAGTACATCCATAATCTTGCCAAAAGCTTGATATTTAGAATGTTAAAAACCAAGTGAGACAGGGCGCCTGGGTGGCTCAGATGGTTAAGCGTCTGCCTTCGGCTCAGGTCATGATCCCAGGGTCCTGGGATCGAGTCCCGCATCGGGCTCCCTGCTCCTTGGGAGCCTGCTTCTCCCTCTGCTTCTCTCCCTCTCTCTCTCGCTGTCTCTCATGAATAAATAAGTAAAATCTTAAAAAATACCAAGTGAGACATAACTGTATTTTAGCCCTAATTTTAATTTACATGTGATTTTTACCTGAAAGCACTACCTTCTATCTCTTCTTGGGAAGGATTTAAAGAAAGATATTTTTATTCCATTTACCAATCATTGTGTGCTTTTGAATCATCATAAGTGTAGCTGTGCAAAGCGAAAAGGTATGCATGTTTTCTAATGTACTTTTCTCTTTTTCCACTGGTCACTCAAGAAAAAGGAAAACTATTACCAGCCTCCCTAAGGTCATTGCCCTGCCTGAGCACTAGAGAGGACATAGTTAAATACTTTTATTTAAATTTACCAGATACCAAATTTTATATTAACCGTATTCATGTACTTAATTTTTATGTATTTTGAACTGAGTTTTTTATGTTTCCAGGAACTGAATGAAAACCAGAGCACCCCCAAAAAAGAAAAACAAGAATGGCTTTCAAAGCAGAAGGAAAATATACAACATTTCCAAGCAGAGGAAGAGGCTAATCTGCTACGACGACAGAGGCAATACTTAGAGCTGGAGTGCCGTCGCTTTAAGAGAAGAATGTTACTTGGACGCCATAACTTGGAGCAGGACCTTGTCAGGGAGGTATGTTTGAATGATGTGATATCAGAAATACGTCTGTCATATCCCAACTGCAAGGCCTTTGACCTCATAATTCCCTGGCCTAAATCCTTCTTTCCCAGATACTCAATCCACATGGCTTGCTTTCTCACTTTAAATGTTCTTCTTTGCACTTCTTTCTCTTACATATATACACTCTTTGGAAGAAGTCTCTCTCCCCAACTAGAATGGAAATTATATAAAGTCACAGGTTCTGTTCAGGTCTTTATATCCCTAGTGTCTGGCCCATAGTAAGCATACAGTATTAAATATTTATTTAATAAATATTAAATCCATGAAAAATGAAGGAAACAATTTTTAAATGAGAAAATTAATTGGATAATTTATGCCTTCTGATCTAAAGCATGAATTGTGTGTTACCATTTAATACATTGTTATAATTATATAATTAACTGGACAAATGTGGAAAACTTATCACAGTGAGAACAATTGTTTTTATTATCAGGGACACCTGTGAGCATAGATAAATTTATTTCCAAGGTGGCATAAAATAAGCTTCAAGTATAGCATAACTGTTCAAATTCAGTGATAAAGAATTTCAAATTAAAACAGTTGGGCACCTGGGTGGCACAGTTGGTTAGGCCCCCAACTCTGCTTTGGCTCAGGTCATGATCTCAGGGTCATGGGATTGAGCTCCACATCAGGCTCTGCGCCAGGCTCCCTGCTCGGCTGAGCTCAGAGTCTCCTTGAGATTCCCCCCCCCGCCCCACCACCCCTCCCTCTCGTGCTCTTGCATGTGCTCTCTCGCTCTCTAAAATAAATAAATCTTAAACAGTTGTATCAATTAGATAAGAATAATTCAAGAGGCTGTTAACATGGGGAAATGATATAAAATCTTAAAAAAAGGGGGGGATGCGCCTGGGTGGCTCAGTCATTGAGCATCTGCCTTTAGCTCAGGTCATGATCCCAGGGTCCTGGGATCGAGCCCCGCATTGGGCTCCTTGCTCAGCAAGGAGCCTGCTTGGAGCAAAAATCCCTCTCCCACTCCCCCTGCTTGTGTTCCTGCTCTCGCTATCTCTCTCTCTCTTTCTCTGTCAAATGAATAAATAAAATCTTAAAAAAAAAAATGGGGAAATGGGCAGTATTGGTAAGTATAAAGTCTAAACTGATACTGTCCTTTTGGAGCATAATTCAGCCATAGCTTTTTTTTTTTTTTTTTAAGAATTTATTTTGAGAGAGAGAGAGAGAGCGTGCAGAGGGAGAGTGAGAGGGAGAGGCAGGCTCCCCGCTGAGCAGAGAGCCCGATGGTGGGGCTCGATCCCAAGACCTGGAGATCATTACCTGAGCTGAAGGCAGATGCTTAAACGACTGAGCCACCCAGGTGCCCCACAGCAATAGCTTTTTTATTTTATTTTCTTTTTTTAGAGAGCGAGAGCATGAGGGGTAGAGGGCCAGAGGGAGAGGTAGAGAGAGAATCTCAAGCAGGTTCCACACCCAGCATGGAGCCCAACCTAGGGTTCAGCCTCATGACCCCGAGATCATGACCTCAGCTGAAATCAAAAGTTGGATGCTTAACTGAGCCACCCAGGTGCCCCAGCAATAGCTTTTAAAATTTAATAGACACATATGTTCTTACTCACCAAATCCACTTCTGGAATTGTATCTTAAAGAAATAATAACATGATTATATGATGCGTCATGCATGGTTATGTACTGAAAATGTGTTTAAAGCAAAAGAATGGAAAAATTATGGAATTGTAGAGCAGAAGCTTACTATTGAAACTTAAGATCTTTTTATACTGATCTGGTTGGGATATATGTCCATTATATTTTTTTTTTAAAGATTTTATTTATTTATTTGACAGAGAGAGAGAGCAGGAACACAAGCAGGGGGAGTGGGAGAGGGAGAAGCAGGCTTCCCACTGAGCAGGGAGCCCGATATGGGGCTCGATCCCAGGACCCTGGGATCATGACCCGAGCTGAAGGCAGATGCTTAACTGACTCAGCCACCCAGGCGCCCCATGTCCATTATATGTTTAGTTGAAGAAAGCTACATACCTATAATGTATTTTGGTATTTAGTTTTAAAACTGTATGTTTTATATAATAGATGTGTCATAATAAGCATGAGGAGAATTTTGGAAAGCTTTTGCACCAGGCTATTGGCCTCTGGAGCTCTGGAGAAAGGGTTTGCAGAGGCAAAGGTGGCAAGTTTGACTTCTACAGTGTGTGTGGGGGGGTGGGGGTACACTTGTTCTTCTTAAAAAATTTTTTTTTAAGATTTTATTTATTTATTTGAGAGAGAGAGCACAAGCAGGGGGGAGTGGGAGAGGGAGAAGCAGGCTTCCTGCTAGCAGGAAGCCTGATAACGGGGCTCAATCCCAGGACCCTGAGATCATGACCTGAGCTGAAGGCAGACCCTCAACTGACTGAGCTACCCAGGCGCCCAACACATGTTCTTTTTAATCTGCAAAAAAAATTTATCGAGCATGATGTGCTAAGTATTATTCAAAGACCTTTCCGTTTATGAACTTATTTCATCCTCACACTAAATCTATGAAATAGCTATATTATCTCCATTTGAGAAGTGATGAAGCTGAAGCAGAGAGTTTAAATAACCCAAGGATTTGCAGTTCATAAATAGCAGAGCTAGGATTTAGAACACAGGCAGCCTTGGGGCACTTAGGTGGTGCAGTTAAGTGTCCGACTTTTGGTTTGGCTCAGGTCGTGATTGCCAGGTTGTGAGATCAAGCCCCAAGTAGGGCTCCGTGCTTAGTTCTGCTTGGTACTCTCTCTCCTTCTCTCTCTCTGCCCCTCTCTACCATAGGCGTGTTCTCGCTCTCTCTCAAATAAATAGGTCTTTTTTTTTTTTAAAGATTTTATTTATTTATTCATGAGAGACAGAGAGAGAGAGAGAGAGAGAGAGGGAGGGGGAGAAGCAGGCTCCCAAGGAGCAGGGAGCCCGATGCGGACTTGATCCCAGGACCCTGGGATCATGACCTGAGCCGAAGGCAGACGCTTAACCATCTGAGCCACCCAGGCGCCCCACAATTAAATAGGTTTTAAAAAAAAAAAAAAGGAATTAGAATACAGGCAGCCTAGCTCTACAGTCCATATTCTTAACCACTACGCTACACTGGGTATGCTCCTCCTAATAGAATTGAATAGTATACTCTGAAAAAATTCAGAGGATGGCTTAGGAACCTTCTTCAAATATAAAATTAGGAAACAATAAAGAAAGGAAAAAGGGAAGGACAGTAAACCCTTTGAGATAGATTTGATAGATTTTAAACTTAATGTGTAAAGTAGTGTTAGTAAATAGTAAATGGACAGCATAAAGAAAATTTGTGCTACTAATTGTTCATTTACTATAGTAAATATTATAAAACCCTCATACTTACTATGTAGCCATTACTGAATCAGAGGATTACATCTATTTCCTGGTTGTTCTGTTTCTTAGGATTTTTTTTCCTGGCATCATACAGCAGTATTATACCTTTGTCTTTTGTGTTGTGGATTAGGAGTTAAATAAAAGGCAGACTCAAAAGGACTTAGAGCATGCCATGCTACTGCGACAGCATGAATCCATGCAGGAACTGGAGTTCCGTCATCTCAACACCATTCAGAAGATGCGCTGTGAGTTGATCAGATTGCAGCATCAAACTGAGCTGACAAACCAGCTGGAATATAACAAGCGAAGAGAACGAGAACTAAGGCGAAAGCATGTCATGGAGGTTCGACAACAGCCTAAGAGTCTAAAGGTACCTTTACCTAAGCTTCTTGATAAAAGGCATCCATGTAAACAGTAAAAGTCTAAGACAGAGGTCTGGCATAAGGAAATTGAATAAACTTTTTTCTTTTCATTTTAAGAATGTTTGGTTAGTTTTAATGTAGCTGTAGACTTTTGGTTTATGTATTTCTCAGCAGTATACCAAAACTTTTTTGTATACAGTTGTAGGACATGCCATAAATAAGAATCAAAATTCTGATTTTTAATATATCCAAATGTCCAATGCTGATATTATAGTTGACATGTCAACATGCTAACCTGTTTTCTTCTCTCTGTTGTTCCAAGTAATACAATTTTGGAATCTTACTTACTGTAAATATGATTTGTTTCCAAAAAAGACACTAAGTTCTTAATCAGCACAGAAGCCAATGAATAGAAAATGTCTTTTTATTCCCTCTCCCTTCATTGTCTATACTTATCTTAAAATGAACAAAGAAATCATTACAGTGTTGCTCCAGTCCGCTTGCTTGCTTTCTTTGCTTGGTAGTGTAGGTAAGACCATGGCGTAGGTAGTTGGGATATATATATATATATATTAGCACATCAGAGTAGAGCAAGTTGTTATATAGCCCTCCCCGCAATAAATAAGTGTTGGTGATATATAATACCAAAGGACTTTAAATTTTGTATTTGCTTTGAATACAGGAATTCATTCACATAGTATGAAATGTGAAGATACCAAAGTATATTATAAAGATTTCCCTCTCTCCCCTTATCTCTCCAGCCAGCTGGTCTAGCCCAGAGTCAACCAGAGTTAACAATTACAGGACGTTTTCAAATTTTATAACTTGTAATAAATATTTGAAGGAATATAATCCCATTACTCTTAATGAGCAAAAACACAATCATCCACTGCATAGGCTGTCATCTGTAGTAGTACCTCAGTTAATTCGGATATGTCTGCAAATTTTAAACTTTTATTTACATCCAGTAAGGCCCATATCCCCTAGTATTTCCTTTTTAAACTTTACCCTACCCCCTTTTATTTGAGAATTTAACTATAAAACTGTTTTTTTTTAACTGTCCTGGAGTGAAGTGAAATTCATTCACAGAGGTAATCTTTGTTAAAATCTAGAAAATATACTATATCCAATTGTAACTGATTCCTGTGCAACTCCGTTCTAAAAGACTATCTTGACTGAAATATAAAAGCAAAATTAAGATGGTTTATTCTTTCCTTGTGAACTGGGATAAAATTTCACTTTTTTGTGTCTTCAAAATAACTAATAAACATCATTTACAGAGTAGCTTATGTTGACTACCCATATAACCTTCATTAATCATTACTTAGAAAAATTGGAATTCATAATGATTTTTCAGATTTTTTTTGTCTTTGTAATGAAGAGGGTATATACTCTTTTGGCTACAGAAAAATTTCCCCCAAAAGATTTTTAAAACAATATGTCTGTAAAATTACTGTTTTAAAGTCAACAGCACCCAGAAGCAAACCACACTGAAAGCTTGTTAGTTTTCTCTAGTCATACCATAAATCTGATATGATTGCATATCTCTAAGACTTGGAATAGTTGGTTGTTTGATATTTAAGCCTTCCTTTCTGTTCCTCTTGTTGGAGCCTTTTTTGTTTGAAAGCTTGTTAACACTAGATTTTATTTTTACAGATGGTGAGGAGAAAAATAATATTTCACAATCATAGACTTTGAATGACTTAGAATGCCTCCTTTGATGACCAGTGAGCTCGAGATTTTCCATAAAAGAAATTGTTCTGTTACTTTAGTAGGGAAGAAAATCATGGTGTTCCTCTTAGTTATATATATCTATCTACTTGCTCCATTTGAACAAAAGAAACACCAATTTTTTGGTGTTTCAAAAGAAACATCCTATTTTTATATGCCTAAATCATAATAGTTGTTTCTTCCAACTTCCTTCAAGACTTTAATGGGGAGTAGGGGGACTTTAGTTTGAGCACTTGGGGTTTCTGTAGTTTATTCTTGATTGTAAGTGTTACTCTTCTTGTTGCAAAAAAATTGCAAGTTCCTTTTTCTCATTAGGCTAATGATGTGGAATGATTACAGTTTTCTAGGTATCCTATTTTAAAAATAAAAACTTTTATTAAAAGATTGAATGTTATACAGAGGCAGGAGAGAATGTCTAAATGTCATTGTTTCACTCCTAGCTAACTTGGAAGAATTTTGTTAACCAAGGACAGTATTTAAGTGTGGTGCTACTCCGCATAATTAAACCAAGAGTTTATCTTTCTAGTTAGACAATTGTTGACCCTTCACAGAATAAAGTATCATGACTATGACCTAGTGCCTCAGTTGGTGTGAAATATAGAAAAGGTCTATTTGATGCTGTAATGTTACAAGGGGTGGTGAATGACTAGTTCCTTGACAAGTGGTTTACTTTGGTAAGATGTGCATTTGTTGCATACTGAATCAACCAATCAATATCTGGCAGTATTTATATTAAGTTAAAATAATTTCATGTATAGGTTCTGCCTTAGTGTAGTAAGTGAATATATTCTCACAGGCTCACTCAGTATACTTTATAGAATAATATCTCATGATTAACAAAAACCAAAGCCAAAACTCTTCTGTCTCTGAGCTCAGTTATTTTATCTCAGAAATATTTATGTAGCTCATGTCTCTTACCACTCCCAAGAAAGTTGCCCTCTCCCTTGCCCCATAACTTTTGTTTGACCTTTAAAAGATGAGCTAACTAACTGACTTTCAAGTTTTTGCTTATGGCATTAAAGAGTAAACCATTACTAAGTATGTTTCTATCTAGTTTATTCCCTTAAGGAAAAGATAATTAATTGTAAATAATATTAGTTACTAATACTCTGCTTTGTGGGGTCTGTTATTCAGTATGTAGTTAGAGTTGAGATTGTTATTAAAAGAAATTAAAGCAAAGTGCCTCAGATAAGGAACAGAATAAATACGCTTATTTTCTCCCTCAGAGATCTGATAAAATATTGTCTGGCCAGTAAAATACTTTTATATCTACTATACTTAATGCATGAGAAGAAATTTAATTTTCTGTCATCAGTATACATGGTAATTTTAATATTTACTCAAGTCACCAAATTTACTAACAAAACAACAAGTATTGCTGGAAGTCCTGTGATAAATGAATTTCTGGATATTTTAATGTTTTAAATTAGAGCTTTTGTTATAAAAATGCATAGAATCCAGTGGTTTGACCCAATAGCTAAGTGCAAAAGTACCTGCAGCCTTATGATCTGACCTTTTTGTTTTTCTTCTCCCTTTCTCTTTGTTGCCTTTAATGTAAGCCTAAAGTACACCAAATGCCATATATTAAAAATTACATGCATCTGTTTTTTTCTTCCCAGTCTAAAGAACTCCAAATAAAAAAGCAGTTTCAGGACACCTGCAAAATCCAAACCAGACAGTATAAAGCATTAAGAAATCACCTACTGGAGACGACACCAAAGAGTGAGCACAAGGCTGTTCTGAAACGGCTCAAGGAGGAGCAGACCCGGAAGTTAGCCATCTTGGCTGAGCAGTATGACCACAGCATTAATGAAATGCTCTCCACACAAGCTGTGAGTTTGTTTTATTAGGCAAAATAAATTAAGTTAGTGATCCTTTCCTTCTACCCAGCAATTAAAATACTAGTTAGAAATGATCATTCTCCTTCAGCTTGGGAAATAGTAGTGATGGTCCATATTCTTCCTTCTCTGGATCATTGCTTGGAAGCATGCATGATGTATATAGAATTCTCATTGGTACATTTAGACCTGAAGGGGTTTTTTTTTTAAAACATTTTACTTATTTGAGAAAGAGACAGAGAAAGTGAGAGAGAGCACAAGTGGGGTGAGGGGCAGAGGGAGAAGCAGATTCCCCGCCAAGCAGAGAGCCCGATGCGGGGCTCGATCCCAGGACCCTAGGATCATGACCCGAGCCGAAGGCAGACACTTAACTGGCTGAGCCACCCAGGCGCCCCTAGACCTGAAGTTTTTTTTTTTTTTTTAAATAATTTTTTATTGTTATATTAATCACCATACATTACATCATTAGTTTTTGATGTAGTGTTCCATGATTCATTGTTTGTGCATAACACCCAGTGCTCCACGCAGAACGTGCCCCCCTCAACACCCATCACCAGGCTAACCCATCCCCCCACCCCCCTCCCCTCTAGAACCCTCAGTCTGTTTTTCAGAGTCCATCGTCTCTAATGGTTCGTCTCCCCCTCTGACTTACCCCCCTTCATTCTTCCCCTCCTGCTATCTTCTTCTTCTTCTTCTTCTTTTTTTTTTCTTAACATATATTGCATTATTTGTTTCAGAAGTACAGATCTGTGATTCAACAGTCTTGCACAATTCACAGCGCTCACCATAGCACATACCCTCCCCAATTAGACCTGAAGTTTTAAACAGGCTCTCTGCCAGTGCCTCTCAGGTGTTTAGCACATATCCCAATAGCATATATCAAGATTGGAGCAGCAGCTTTGTTAGGTAGTGAGCAAAAAGTAGTACTGTATTTGGAATCCAAATGGTCACATTTGAGTACAAATATAAAATATTTTCTTCCTTTTTTTATTTTAATTAAAGATTCATTTATTTATTTTAGAGCGTGCAGGGGGTGGGGGGCGAGCAGAGAGGGGGGAAGGAAGCAGGCTCCCTGCTGAGCTTGGAGCCCCATGCCGGGCTCTATCCCAGAACCCTGAGATTATGACCAGAGCCCAAACCAAGAGTCAGACACAACTGACTTAGCCACCCAGGCACCCCAAGATATTTTCTGTATAAGTTTTGTAAACATTTTCTTAAAGAGCCAGATAGTAAAATATTTTAGAGTTTGTAGGCCAGGAGGCAAAATTGAAGATATTATGTGGGTACTTATATAGCCATTTAAAATGTAACTATTTCAGGGGCGCCTGGGTGGCTCAGTCGTTAAGCGTCTGCCTTTGGAGATCATGATCCCAGGGTGCTGGGATCGAGCTCCACATTGGGCTTCCTGCTCAGCGGGAAGCCTACTTCTCCCTCTCCCACTCCCCCTGCTTATGTTCCCTCTCTCTGTCAAATAAATAAATAAAATCTTAAAAAGAAAAGGTAACTATTTCAAATGTAAAAACCATTCTTGGGGCTCCTGGGTGGTGCAGTTGGTTAAGCCTCCCGACTCTTGGTTTCAGCTCAGGTCATGATCTTGGGGTCTTGAGATCAGGCTCCCTGTTGGGCTCCGTGCTCAATGAGGAATCAGCTTGGGATTCTGTCTCCCTCTCCCTCTGCCCCTCCCGCTCGTACTCTCTCTCTAGGATAAATAAATAAATCTTTAAAGAACAAAAAAACCCGGGCAGCTGCCCAGATTTGGCTAGTAGGCTGTTTGCTGGTCCTTATGCTATAGTTATTTCCATTGGAGAGAAAACATTCAGAGTCTTAACTTATATCATCTGACCATATTCTAGATTTTTCTTAAGAAAAATGTGGTTATTTAGGCATCCTCCAAAGAGCTCATGATAGCTTTATCTTCCTAATGCCATCAGTGGTTACTAGGCCTTCCTTTTTCAGAGATGTTTACTCCAAGGTATGAGAGAGAACAGTTGTTACCCTACAAAAGTGTACTCTGTCTTCTCTCATACCTCCTCTTTTCCATAGGTGAGGAATAGATAACTCACAGTAGGATATTTTCTTTCTCTTTTTCAGCTACGTTTGGATGAAGCACAGGAAGCAGAGTGCCAGGTTTTGAAGATGCAGCTGCAGCAGGAACTGGAGCTGTTGAATGCGTATCAAAGCAAAATCAAGATGCAAGCCGAGGCACAACATGATCGAGAACTTCGAGAGCTTGAACAGAGGGTCTCCCTCCGCAGGGCACTCTTAGAACAAAAGGTATAAGTAATATGAGGAAGGTAATTGTGCTAGTGTTTGCTTTCAGCAGAAGCATTTTATAAATCTTTTTTCATATTGACAGGTGGCATTGAATTGTTTTCACAATACCGTATCTCCTTAATTCTGCTTTTGGTAGTGTTCTTCTTTTTCTTTTAAATTAAAATTACTGATTTAGTAATGAACCTTATAATTATTGAGTACTAAACATCAAGGGAATATAATTAAGTAGTAATTGCTAGAGGAAGGAATATGAGGTTATGTGAAGACAGTTGAATTGGGAGAGAGTAGCTACGGCTCCGTGTTCCTCACTTCTTTTATGTACCTAGCTCTACCTAAGGAGATTGGAAGTTGGTTAGTGAAGCAAAAGAACGTTAGTAGTTGCCTGGGAGAAGCAGGGACAAAGGATCAGGAATATATATACTTTACTTATACATCCTAGACCTGCAACTATACAGATTGGTGGAAGATAATTATAGGACAGAAGATTATTTTCACACAGGTGAAAAATCAAGCTGAAGATGTTACTTCTAGATATATCTGTATTTATTTATTTTTTACTTATTCTTTGTCAGATATATTAAAGAATAGAACTAGAATCCCCAAATTCATTTCATCCTTTAAGGTAGTAAAGTTGAGTGTGTGTGAGTATGTGTGTGTTTTGGGGGAAAGAATGATGGGCAGAAGATTTTTGAGAGATAAAGAGGAAAGCATTTGTTGTTAGAAGTATAGTTGACCCTTGAACAACGTAGGGGTTAGAGGCTGCTACAACCTATGCAATTGAAAATTTGCATGTACCTTTTCTTACACATATAAAAGTGACCAGAAGCCTTACCGATAACATAGTCGATTAACACATATTTTGTATGTTATGTGTCTATACTGTATTCTTACAATAAACTAAGCAAGAGAAGAGAAGATACATTTACAGGACTATACTGTATTTACTGGAAAAAATCCACATGTAAGGGGACCCATGTAGTTCAAACTCATGTTGTTCAAGGATCGACTGTAGTAGAATATCAATTGTATCCAGAATTCGGAGCTGTGTTTAAGAATTCCTGAGCCGTAAGTTCCCAACAGCTGGTATAGTCTTAGGTCCATTATAAGAGAATACTTGCCTAATGGTCTTGCCTAATGAAAGTTGTTATTGTTTCTGGATAAAATTACAGTGCCTTCTTATATTTCAAAAAAATTGTCTTAAAATATCACTTAACTAAAATGTTACTATTTCCCTGGGACAGCTGTCTTTATTACTAGCTTCTTTGAGAGGCACTTGGCTCTAAAAATTATCTTGGTTATGTTTCTCATTCAAGATGAGAGAGAACACATAAATTTTGAGAAAAATCTATAGTTTGTTAGATTTATAAATCTGATTCCAATTTGAACATTTAAATTCAGTCTGAAGTTCTGTCACTTGCGCTTCAAAATTATCACTAAAAGGAAAACCTCTATAGTAATTTAGAAGTAGTGTCATGAGGGGTGCCTGGGTGGCTCAGTCGTTAAGCGTCTGCCTTCAGCTCAGGTCATGATCCCAGGGTTCTGGGATCGAGCCCTGTGTCAGGCTCCCTGCTCCACGGGAAGCCTGCTTCTCCCTCTCCCACTCCCCCTGCTTGTGTTCCCTCTCTCACTGTCGCTCTCTCTATCAAAAAATAAATTAAAAATCTTAAAAAAAAAAAAAAATAGTGTCGTGAAAGAAATATTGGTACTATTAAAAATATATTTGGGGGCGCCTGGGTGGCTCGGTTGGGCAACTGCCTTCGGCTCGGGTCACGATCCTGGAGTCCCGGGATCGAGTCCCGCGTCTGGCTCCCTACTCAGCGGGGAGTCTGTTTCTCCCTCTGACCCTCCCCCCCTCATGCTCTCTATCTCATTCTCTCTCTCAAATAAATAAATAAAATCTTTAAAAAAAAAAAAATATATATATATATATATATATATATGTTTGTATTTTTAGCTCCACCTGGTGGTTCAGAGTTAAACAGTACTAATTATTAACAGGTACAATCTTATTTCAATATATGAACCAAAGTCTACAAGTTCTACAAAGCCTCGTTTAAAACTGATACCCATTGGTGAAGGTGCAATAGTACTCTCATATACTGTAAATGTATTTTGAAAAGCAGTTTGGATGTATATATTGAGTTTTGGAATTGTTAAGCATTTGAGACTTTGAGAATTTAGTCTAAGGAAAAGCCAAAATATAGGGAAAATTATGCATATAAACAGTCATTATAACGTGCTTTTTTTTTTTTAAGATTTTATTTATTCATTTGACAGAGACACAGCGAGAGAGGGAACACAAGCAGGGGGAGTGGGAGAGGAAGAAGCAGGCTTCCTGTGGAGCAGGGAGCCCGATGCGGGGCTTGATCCCAGGACCCTGGGATCATGACCTGAGCCGAAGGCAGAGACTAACTGACTGAGCCAACCAGGCGCCCCCATTATAACATATTTTATCATGATTTAAAACATCTAACCTATGCCGGGCTCCCCCTGCTCTGTGGGGAGCCTGCTTCTCCCTCTTCCTCTGCCTGACATTCCCCCCACTTGTGCTCTGTCAAATAAATAAATAAAATCTTAAAAGAAAAAAGTCTTAAATAAAAACTAGGAAAAAAAAAAAGAAAACACCTGTCTAAATAGAGATAAGTAATTATGGCCAAGCCAATGAAATCTTACTCAGTCATTTAAGTGATAGCTACAAAGACAGTATTAATATTGGGAAAATGCTTATGATGTGTTGAATGAAATAAAAAAGACAAATTACAGTGAATTGAAAGAATGCTAGTAGTGGCTATATTAATACAGTAGATTTGTTCTTTTTAAATAGCACTTTGATAATGGAAAATGCTTATCATCATTTAGTGTTAAAAGTAATAAAAAAACAATAGGATGATAAATCTATAGTGCCTTGAGTTGCTGCTTGATTTTAGGGCTTACGTTGACATTTCAAGTGAAGTACAGGTCTATAAAGCAGTTTGGGTCAGTTAGCAACTACCAAATCCATTTAACAGCTATTTTTCTGCACTTTGTACTTACTGGTTGTACAGAAAAGAAACAGTCGTCTGAAAATAGAGGTGGAATTGGAGTGAATGTTAGTTGTTTATAGATGAATAATAATTCTGTTTGAGGATTGTTTTCAGCCTCCAAATGAACCAAAAACTGTTCTTTAGGTAGAGACACCAACTAAGTAAGCCTCATTTGACTCACATGAGGTCTTATTACAACTTTTCTCATACTTCATTTACATTAAAATTTCAGCAAGTTAACAACATCACTATAAATGTTAAATCCCATGTGAATTTTATACATGCATGAAAAGTGTCAGTATCTCCAAATTATAAATGGGCTTTTTTTTTTATTATTTCATTTAATTTTCTCTCAATATTTCACAGCATCAGCAACATGATTGGTACTTTTTAAATAAGAATTGACAATTGGAACATTTTATAGGACCTTTCTTTGTTGAACTGAAAATATTCACACAAAAATACCACATTTGATTTCAAAGGAGATAGGTTGGAAGAGCCTGTCAAAAGTCTTAATTATGGTAACTGTTATCTACCCAGTGAAGCCACCTTGCTAATTTGAAAAAATAAGTAACATGTTTTAAAAGAAATGGGAATTAAGGTAGCCTATCACAAATCTTAGTTTCATTTTTATGTTATTGAAACTGTTCTGCATTTCTTAAATGACAAAACTAATCAGCAAACAGAATTGAAGCAATGCTTACTAGATTAAAGGTTGATAAGCATTAATGTGTTTATATTTTTGTCATGAGTCTCCTTTAGATAATATGCAACACATTCAGATTAGTTATATACTCAGTACATTCACATTATTTATTAGATCCCTTGAATTAAAATAAATGCTTTTAGTAAATGGATTTTTGAAAGTTTTACATTAAAAATATTTCAAAGATAAATTTGTATTTCTTTGAATCCTTAGAGGTATGTAAATTCTGTATGAATTGGGTATTTTATATATAGTTATAAAAGTGGAAAACTATTTTACAAATACACAATCATTTTTCTTAAAACTTGACAAGTTTAGGGGCACTTGGCTGACTCCCTCATTAGAGCATGTAACTCTTGATCTCAGGGTTGTGAGTTTGAGTTCCACATTGAGTGTAGAGATTACTTAAAAAGTAAAATCTTTACCAAAAAACCCACAAAACTTGACAAGTTCAGAAAAACATAAATAGAAATTAAAATGTCTGTAATCCCACCACTCAGAAATCACCACAGTTAATTTGATGTCTTTCCCTCGGAAATGCAGCATTCATGTCTAATCTTAAGTTCTCCTTCAGCCTTCATATGAAATGCTCACTCTGAAACTTTTTAACACTTTAGTACTTAGAACAGTCAATAATTTTCAAACTCTTCTTACTGGAATCCATTCTGGCCCAAATACTTCTTATTTTAGGGGCGCCTGGGTGGCTCAGTTGGTTAAACCGCTGCCTTCAGCTCAGGTCATGATCCCAGGGTCCTGGGATCGAGCCCTGCATCGGGCTCCCTGCTCAGGCAGGAAGCCTGCTTCTCCCTCTGCCTTCCGCTCCCCCTGCTTGTGCTCTCTCCCTCTCTCTCTCGCTATCTCTCTCTGTGTGTCAAATAAATAAATAAAAAATCTTTAAAAAAAAAAAATACTTCTTATTTTATCATTTTCCCATGCCTTTGCACATGTTCTTTCAGCTGAAAATATCTTTTCCTTCCCTTTCTCTTCCTGGTAAACTTGTATTCTTCCTTCACAATCCAGTCTCTACTACCTCCTCTGGGAGTACTTTGCCCTCATCTTTCTCCCTTATAGAATGAATCACTCCATTCCTTTTTATTTCTGCTATACCTTGTAAATCTGTTATTATGTCTTATCACATTCTATTGTGATCTTTTATTTGCATATGTCTCCCATGCTAAACTTTTTATAAAAGGACACTCTGAAAACTTTATGCATAAAAACTAAACAAATGTTCAGTTTTTTAAACTAGGACACTTTTTTAAATTTTTTTAAAAAGGACACTCCTGAAAATTTGATGCATAAAAACTAAACATATTTGTTGAGTTAGATTTCTGCAGAGAGCAATGAGTATTGGCTTAAATCCTCAAATACCCTGATAACTGATTTAATGGTCCTTTATAATAAATCCTCCTTATTTCTTATTTTTAAAAAACTTTTTATCATGGAAATTTTCAAACATACACAGAAGTAGGAGGAATTATTACAATGAAATCCCCAAGTACTCACCACCCAGCTTCAATAATTTGCTAATTTTTTCTTACCTATCCCCCTGCTGTGCACACAAAACTTTGTGGTGGAGGGAGGAGGTGGGGAAGAAATTTCAACATACCATCATTTGACTCCAAAATAGAGGTAAGGACTTTTTGACTCTAACATAACCATAATTCATCTAACAAAATTAATAATGAATTTTTAATATTATACTCAGTCCATGCTTAAATTTCCCCTTTTGTCTCTTAAGTCGATTTATTTGGATCAGGGCCCAAACAAAGTCCAGGCATTTCGTTTGGTTAATTATCTTTTAAGTCTTTCTTTTAGTCTATAACCACTACCCCCCCACACACACCTTTTTTTTTTTTATTGAGGATTGGATCATTTGCTCTCTGTAGGAATTCTCACATACGGATTTGGCTTATTTCATCCTCATAGTGTCATTTAATGTATTCCTCTCTTCATATTTCCTGTAAACTGGTAATTAAGTCTTGAGGCATGATTATATTTAGATTAAACTTTCTGTTTTCTTGGGGCACCTGGGTGGCTCAGTTGTTACGCATCTGCCTTCGGCTCGGGTCATGATCCCAGGGTTCTGGGATCTAGCCCCACATTGGGCTCCCTGCTCCGCGGGAAGCCTGCTTCTCCCTCTCCCACTCCCCCTGCTTGTGTTCCCTCTCTCGCTGTGTCTCTGTCAAATAAATAAATAAAATCTTTAAAAAAAAAATAAACTTTGTTTTCTTTCAAAAAATTTTGCAGGGAATTTTCATAAGGGTTATGGTGTACTTCCTTTTGCATCACATCAAGAGATGCATAATGTCTGGGGCACCTGGGTGGCTCAGTTGTTAGGCATCTGCCTTCGGCTCAGGTCATGGTCTCAGGGTCCTGGGATCGAGGCCCACATCGGGCTCCCTGCTCAGTGAAGCCTGCTTCTCCTTCTCCCACTCCCCCTGCTTGTGTTCCCTCTCTCACTGTGTCTCTCTGTCAAATAAATAAATCTTTAAAAAAAGAGAGATACATAATGTCTAACTGCCACACTTTTAAGTGCTATTAATATTGATCATTGGGTTCAGGTTTTGTCAGTCTGATCATTCATAAAGTTCTCCAACTTTTTTTTTCGTTGTCTATTGACTTTATTATCTATTTTTTAATAAAAATGTATATACAGTCAACTATATTTATTTGTAATACTTCTAGTTTTCCAGAACTGATTATGTGGCTACCCAACTATGAATTTTTAGCTACACAGAATCTCTTAACTTTTCAATGAAAACTTTTTAGTTTTTTGTTTGCTTTCACTTAAGGTTTTGGTCTGTCTGGAATGTGGTGTAAGATGGGGTTCCATTCCATTTTCTTCTAGATGTTGGCCAAATGTGCTTGCACTATTTGTTTCTCCCATTAAATTAATTACTGCTTTTGTCTTGCATTAAAAGCCTGCAAACTGGGGCACCTGGGTGGCTCAGTCAGTTGAGCTTCTGCCTTCAGTTCAGGTCATGATCTCAAGGTCCTGGGATAGAGTCCTGTGTTGGCTCAGCGAGGAGTCTTATTCTCCCTCTCCTTCTGCCCCTCCCCCTGCTCATGCTCTCTCTGTCAAATAAATAAATAAATAAATGCTGAGATCTTCATTCTGTTTCTCTTTTACTAATTGTCTGTTTCACACAAGTACCGTAGTTATTTTAAGATTTATTTATTTTTTAGAGAGAGAGCACAAGCAGGGGGGACAGAGGGAGAGAGAGAGAATCCCAAGCAGACTCTGCATTGAGTGCAGAGCCCAATGCGGGACTGGATCTCACAACTCTGAGACCCTGAGACCACAACCTACGCCAAAACCCAAGAGTCCTAAATGCTTAACCAACTGTGCCACCCAGATGCCCCTCATATTTATTTTATTAGAGTGACATTATGGGATTTCTGATAAGGCTAGTTTCCCCTTACCCATTTTCTTTTTCATTCAACTTTTTACTAATAGATTTAGTAGCCATTGATCATAATTGCCTTGATTTATTATTTCAATAGAGGTTATTACCTTTGCTTTTTTTTTTTTTTTTTAAGTAGGCTCTACACCCAGCATGGGGCTTGGGGCTTGAACTCATGACCCTGAGATCAAGAGTCACATGCTTTACCAACTGAGCCAGGTGCCCCTGCCTTTGCTTTTAGGAACTTGATTTCAGGGGTGCCTTGCTGTGTCAGTTGGTACAGCACGTGACCCCGGATCTCAGGGTCGTGAATTCAAGCCCCATGTTGGGCTTGGAGCCTACTTAAAAAACTTGATTTTAACCTGAAACTAATTAACATCAACTATAGTCAAATGAAAAATAAATACAAAAACATCTAATTTTTAAAAAGAACTTGATCTTACTCATTTTTTAAAAGATATTATTTATTCCAAAAAAAAAATAAATAAAAGATACTTATTTTGAGAGAGCATGAGAGAGAGCGTGAACAGAGGGGAGGGGCGGCAAAGGGAGAAGCAGATGCCCCGCTGAGCAGGGCGCCCGATGCAGGGCTCATTCCAAGGACGCTGAGATCATGACCTGAGCCAAAGGCAGACATTTAACTGACTGAGCCACCCAGACATCCCTGATCTTATGTGTATTTTAAAAATATAAATTATGTACAGTACATCTACAGTACATCTCTTTAAGTTTTTTTATAGAATTTTTTTAAAAAAGTTTTTATTTTTTTATTTTTTAAGTAATCTCTACACCCAACATGGGGCCGGAACCCTGATTTCAGCTCAGGTCATGATCTCAGGGTTGTGAGATCGAACCCTGTGCTGGGTGTAGAGCCTACTTAAGAGTCTCTGCCCCTCTCTCTATCTCTCTCTTAAAAGAGTTGCATGCTCTTCAGACTGAGCCAGCCAAGCGCCCCACTTCAGTTTTTAAATGTACATCCATAAGGTAGCCAGAGTGAACTTTTTGTGATTCACTTCAAAGTTGAGTAATTATTGCTTCCTTATAGATTTTTAAAAATAAATCAGCTTTCTTTTTCCTTCTCTCCCCCAACGCTGAACAGATTGAAGAAGAGATGTTGGCTTTGCAGAATGAACGCACAGAACGAATACGAAGCCTGCTGGAGCGTCAAGCCAGAGAAATTGAAGCTTTTGACTCTGAAAGCATGAGACTAGGTTTTAGTAACATGGTCCTTTCCAATCTCTCCCCTGAGGCATTTAGCCACAGCTACCCGGGAGCTTCTGGTTGGTCTCACAATCCTACTGGGGGTCCAGGACCTCACTGGGGTCACCCCATGGGTGGCCCACCACAAGCTTGGGGCCATCCAATGCAAGGTGGACCCCAGCCATGGGGTCACCCTTCAGGGCCAATGCAAGGGGTACCCCGAGGTAGCAGTATGGGAGTCCGCAATAGCCCTCAGGCTCTGAGGCGGACAGCTTCTGGGGGACGGACAGAGCAGGGCATGAGCAGAAGCACGAGTGTCACTTCACAAATATCCAATGGGTCACACATGTCTTATACATAACTTAATAATTGAGAGTGGCAATTCCGCTGGAGCTGTCTGCCAAAAGAAACTGCCTACAGACATCATCACAGCAGCCTCCTCACTTGGGTACTACAGTGTGGGAGCTGAGTGCATATGGTATATTTCATTCATTTTTGTAAGGCATTCTGGTTTGTGTTTACTAATTGGGATGTCATAGTATTTGGCTGCCGGGTTTTGTTTTGTTTTTTAACTTTTGGGAAAATTTTGAAAAGGGGAATTGATGTGTTTATGTAAAAAGAAATCAGCTAGATTGGGGATATTTACTGAACACTGAAAAAAACAGAATGCAGCACAGTGGCTTGAGTCATCACTTTGGGGCAACTATATCCTAAGAAATTGGTGAAAAGATCTTAAGCCTTTCTGCATACCCCAGATTCTCATGAGCCACTCACAGCAGGCAGCATATGCTGAAACAAGTGATTATGGAAACACACCTGTATCCCCTAATCAGTGTATTTTCTTTATTAAATTGATCTGACTTCTCAGCCTCATTTGGAGTAAAAAAGTGGAAATCCATGAACACTAAAGGGTTGCATTGACTTTTTCAGAGAGTAGAAAACAACTTAGTTCTTTTTCTGAGTGCTGCATAGGTTTGTCAGTTTTTGTTGTTTTTTGTTTTGTCCGTTCAGTTGTGCCTTCTTTGTGGCATGGTGAGATGGAGGTGCTTCAGGAGATCACTGAGTTGTGTAGGAATTGCATCTACAAACCTGTGAGCCTTCAGAGGGGAGACCAGAGGGTGAGAGAGGCCCCTGAAAGTCCATGTGGTGGATATGTTCAGCAGCAGAGTGAGGAGATGAAGCCTATATATCCTAACGTTTTGTTGCTTATACTGTGATGTCTCATCCTAGCTAAGCTCTGTAACTGCCAAGACCCCAAACAGTACTTTTACTTTGTATAAAAACAGAGACATATAGCCACTATGAGTCAAATGCCGGAGGCATATGAATGATGCCATATTTGCAAACTGCCATCCATTGGAATTCTCATCACACTACAAAGACATAATTTGATTATCCCCCCTTTGGCTTATGGGATTTCCTGTTTACAAGTAGAATAGCCAATTATTTAAATGTGTAGTTGCCATAGTGAACCAGGAGTCACTGAGCCAATGACTTTACCAGCTGCTGACTAATCCTCTTCACCACTGTAGATTTTGCTGCATGTGCAGGTCCTTTTTTTTCCTGGCTGTTTTTGTTGCTGCAGTACTTTACAAACTTCTAGTTCCTTGAGACTTAGTGACCATTTGGCATCATGTTAACATCACACAATAGGAAACACCACTTGCAGAAGTCTCTAGCCTCAGTGCTAAAGTACTACTGAAAAGGAACTAGCAAGTTTGGCAAATTAAAAAAAAAGTAAAGTTATAGTGGTCAGGGAATCTCTTAACAAAAGCTAACTTTTTTCCAGAAAGGGGCATATTTTGTTTTGTTTTATGTTGTTTTGCAATGAAGGATCAACCCAATGCTAAAAGTCAGATGTTACTTGGTATTCCACAGCCAGTGTGGAAATTGAGTTGAAGGTGGATAAGGAGCTATGAGTATGACTTGAAGGAAAAAAAATGTCCTTTCCAGTGAGACTAGAACTTCTTACAATTTATTGTCCTGCCCCCTCCCCAGTTGTCTTGAAGAACCCTTGCTGCTAACTTTGGGTCCTACTTTTAATGTGGTCAGAGGGCTCCAAGTTAGAATTCTCTAAGTCCCTCTCAGTGATACTCTTCACCTAGACCTGACTAATGACCAAACAGTAATCTATCACTGTTGAAATCTTGGTTTTTGTCAACCAAATGTAAATCTTCCCCAGGTATGTCAGCTCAGTCTCTCCACGAATCCTCCCCTTTAGGTGTTTCTGGCATTCATTTAAAGATGACTGGAAGAAAAAATAATATTTTAATGTAAATCTTTTTAAAACCAAAATAACAGTAGAATTCACACTCAGTTTTAGGCAGTGTTTCAGGTAGCACTCAGATATATTGTTCTTTTGGCCATGCTCAAGATTACCAGTTTTTAGGTGAACATAATATGCACTTGTCCTATCTAATTAAAGGGACTTTTAATTTTCTCAATATCTTTTTTTGCATTAAAATATACAGTATTTCAAACAAATTGAGAAATGTACCTGTTTGGAAGAAGATGATAGGAGAAGTCTTTAGAATTAATTAAATGTCCAAAAATGTAATGGAATTTGATACCTTTTACAAAACTATTAATCTGGCCCATCTGTACTACTGGAGGGGTGGAATAGGGGAGCAGATCAATTTTGCATACAAAACTCTTTAAAATCCAAAACATTACCAATGATACATGTTAAAGTCTACTTACGGACTTAAATTAGTCAAATTGAGTTACTGAGTTCATATATACTTGTAAAATTGTGATTGAATACTGACTCCAAATGTCTATCCAGTAGGGCTTTATATCTGATTTAATTGTGTGGCAACCAGTTTTACATGTAGGTCATGACGATACCTGGATTATTCCATTAAGTTAATTTTAATTAAAATATTTATAGTTTGCAAAAATAATTCCAATTAATTGGTTTGTGTGTGTTTGTAAAATCTAACTTCTGAGGAATCTCATACATGGTAGGAATCATCCAGGAGTAAAGCTTGTAGCAGGAAAATTTGAAAGGTTTTGAGAGATCCTAAAGAAAGAAGCAAGCACTTTCTGAATCGGTGTACAAATGTCAACATTTGATCAAATTAATACTACCTCCTCCCCAGTGTTGGTGTTCACTTGGTATATATGTATTTAAGAAAATAAAAAGTATGGGAAATTTGTCCAGCATATCAGAAAGTTGCAATGCTATATCTGGTATCCAGAGCTTGGCAGTAAAAAGTTTGTGTTCACTGTCTCTTCCTTTTTTTAAGTTAGCATTTTAAAAATGCAAAACCTCATACCTTGAAATATATTATTCCTAATTGGCTTCCCTTCCTTTTGCACATACTTTTTCTCTTCTTATTAAACTTCGCTGTAACCCCCAATTACAGTATCTGAAAGTATTTTCATTGATATAGATCATGTTAGCTGGAAAATGTGTTTATATTATTTTAATTTAGAGCTGCCATTCCTTTTAATCATTTCGATGCCTAGAGATGAATAGTCCTGCATTTGAACCACCCCCACAGGTATAATATGCTTGGTACCCAAGGCCAAGGATTTCTTTGGTGAATTGAACTTTTTAGCATAGTCATGATTTTTAGCTGTCAAGACCATTCAGTACACTAAAACTGTCCTTGACACTCCCTCCTATTTTTCCTCATCCCCTATCCAAAAATTGAAAACTCTATGAGTATCTTTTTCAGACCATAAGGCAGACTTTAGTAACTTTCTACTTCTTTAAGTACTAAATGTCTGGCATTTTAAACTTTTATAGAATACATTGTGTTGGACACTGGAATAATACTGTTTATTTTCACCTGTGAAAAATATTGTACTTGAAACACCTCCTTTGCATTTCTCCATGTGTGCCATTCACTAGTGGAAATAAATTGTATTATACCATGATCTACTGGCTTTTTAAAACTGTGTTAAATATGCACATTTTGGTATAGCTATTATCATTTGTATGTATATACTGTATATACATATGAGTGTGTGTGTGTATAGATAGGTGGATGTAACTCATACTGTACAGTTCCATCAGGGCGCTTAAAGTTCTCTTACTTTGTTATTTCAGTCCTCAGTTAAGGCAAGAATGCATGTGTTTCTTAAGAATGAGTATTCTGGGTTGATATTTATGAGAAGGTGGTCATTAGATGCAATCTTTTCTTTTTTACTCCCTTCTTAGCACTTGTGTGGGTGGAAAGAAAGTTAAGTAAACGTGGAGCCATAAGTTGCAATGCAGTAAAATATTGCTGGGGTGGAGCCAGTCAGCATTTCTGTGAGTTTGTGTTGTGATGCAATAAAAGATAAGTGATGCAGAGAGAAATGAACCGTGGAAATTCAAAACACTGGTGGTGATTCCTCTGCAGAGATGATGAAAAGAACCAGGAAGTCACAGTCTCCGTATGCGCAATCTAAACGTGTTTCTTAGGAGTGATGCCATTGATCCTCCTCCTGTCTTTATTCCATTAATACTAATATTTATAAATTTTGCTAAGGACCGAAACAGCCGAGAAAGGAATTACTGCTAAAGCATCTAAGGTTCTCCTAAACTATGAGATCAACAGGAAATGGCCACTGGGAGAGAAGGATATGGTATTGGTGTGGGGCTTTCTCCCTTGAGCCGCCTCTTGCTTGCTAATAGTAAGTTCTTCGTGCACCTTCTAGCCCTTCTGAGCCACTGCTATTCAAGCACAGATTTGGCCCAACACAGCAACCCTTTCCTGGGAAGTTTATATGGTCCTTCATTCTGTCCCATGCTCACAATGTGAAGTGTTTAGTTTGTATTCAAGTCAGAAAATAATATATTTAAGGTGTATAAGTGTGAATCTCCTATAATGATGGAAGAAGAGGTTCTTGTTTCTTAGATCGAAAACTACCTTCTCTAAGGAACAAAGCCAAAACTTGGGCTGTCATCTTTGAGCTGCTTACCAAAATACAGATCATTATTAAAGAGAAATGAATTCTCTCTATTTTGTTTTTCCCTCATCTAACGTGATAGTGCCCCTAACCAGGTTGTAGCATTACCTTTGAGAAGGCACTCACTCACTCCTAGTTAAGAACTGGAAATTTCCCATTCTCAGATTCCTTAAAGGATGAAGAATGTGCTGTACACTTAGCAGACTTGCCTCTTGTATGCAAGGACTACTGATTGAAGTCTATTTTGCTGTGTGTGTGGTTATGTTGTCTGCACTTTTATGAAAACACCACAGTAGGTCTACATTGGAAATGACTATTAATTTGTAAGGAAGTAAGTTTTATTTAAACACTGTGTAGAGCAAGAAGTGAAGCTGAGAACTCTTCCGTTAATGTACATTTATAGTTTCTACTGAATTTTGGTAGCCCCCCTTAAAGTCATGTTGACTAATTTTTCCCTCATTTATGTTTAGATTTCCAAAATTTCACTCACACAAGGGAAGAGAACCCATTTGACCTAATGATAGTTTTCAGATTTTAAGAAATAAAAATTAGTATGCACCTTATCTGCCTGTTGTGGGTTTCTTAAACTTGCACTTCTCTCCCACCCACCCAAAAATAGATATCCTTTAAAGAAAATAAAGGCAGAGAATTGAAACTGGGGAGCCACTTACTATGTCACCATCACTGTTAACTGTTTCCCAGCAATCCTTTTTGAAGTTTCAGAGATATTTTTTTGCGTGTATGTATGTGTCTGTTTGATTGTATGGGGTTTATTTTTTGATTTTAAATATACAAGAGATTCTTCTTTAATAGAGAAAAAAGTTAATCCTCTCTGAGACAGGATGCCCACTGGATATACCAACCTGGACATTGTAGGTAGCTTGCCGTGAAAAAGTGGAGAGAAGATGAGACTTCTGAATGAATGAAAAGGGTGTTTTGACGCCCAAGGATTCCCCCCAAAGTACGGGTAATTCAGCCTGCACAGTTTCCTTTTCGCTCGTAGTTTTTAGCAATTATGAGTGAAAAATCATGTAATTATCTGTAAATATGTAGCTAACAAATTGGCCTAGTTTCTGTATTTTTTGGTTTTGTACTAAGGTTTATAAGTCTGTGCCAGCTAGAGAGGAGTTGCTGTCATTACCAGTTGTGGTCCTAGCATCCAATCCTGAAATCATCCTAGGTGACATTTTTAGAATTAATGCTTAAATGTTGTTAAACAGGGGGAAATGAAGCTTAATCATTGGTCAGGTTTTACATCTTTTGAAGCAAAGTCATTTTATTTAATATAATGATTACGTTTTCAATCATGAATGAGGTAGGGAGCCTCCCTCCCCCAGTGGCCATGTTTACAGACGTGTGTTTTGTCTATAAAGTGCAAGAGTTTTCATGTTTATGTAAATTATGCAGGTGGTAACATTATGGCTTGGAACTGTTTATTGGGCTCTGTAGCTGAATTTTCAGATGAAATGAACTATGCTAACTGCTGGCACATTGATCCCATTTCTGGAGCATTTTTCCTTTTTCCAGAATTACATATGTTCCTTTGTCATTATCCCCACTAAACCTTTCTCTGAAATGCCTTGTAGCCTAAGGTATGAAAGGCTGGTAAACACAGACGAGGGAAATGCATTTTTAAAAATCCATGAGCCCTCATTTGTGTGCATTCAGTACTCCTATGTTTCAGTGGCAACTCTGTGGTCAGTGGAGTTTAGAAATGAGATACCACTGTTAATGAAAAGTGTGTACTCTTTGCTTTTGCATGGCTTGGCTTAGCTTCAAAGATGTATTAGGGCCACTTGAAAGCATGAAGACCAGTCGTGTGGGAACAGGTTTCT